CCTCTACCTAAGTGAAACGAACCAGCAGTGTCTCTCCATTTCTTAGTGGTCAGGAGGTTGTAGAGCCTTACCCTCTGACTTTTCACAGACTTACAGTTAAATGAAAAAAGAGACCAAGCCACGTTATCCTTCCTGGAGCTGGCAATTTCAAAGCAGTATTGTGAGTCAGAGCAGTGGGAGCAGTGCAGAGGACTCCTGTATCCTGCTGCACTGACTCACTGGGGGCTTTCGCTTTCCACTTCAGTCAGGAGCCCAACATCTTCTAAGACAATTAAACTAATCCTTAGGGGACATAGAGAAACTTCTTAAGCTCTGTTCTCTTCCTAAGCAATAAGTTATGAGGAGTGAATCCTAATACACATACATACCAATCTGTATACCGTGTCCATCAGCTTTCATGCATGTTTTGGTTTTGTTGACGACTTCTAGGAGGGATAAACTCCTGAAATATGACACAAAATATTTTAATGCCAGTTTGTACAGCTTAGCTGTGTACTGCTCTGAGATAAGCTTTTCTGCATAAATATGATTCCATACTAATACATCTGCACACTACAATGCCATCATTGTTGTTTTTTTTTTTTTTTTCTTTTGAAGCAAAAATCTATGCAGTCAGTGGTTAGCTTGTTGGATTATTGTAATAGTTTTAATTGATGAGAAGGCCTGTTGGTTTGACTAGAATAAACTATGTTAGCTGCTCAAAAGTAGTTTTTACGATAGTTAAATTTCACCATAAGTAGTACTTTAATTATCTACAGTAAAAATTAAAATGCATGATGAAGGAAGGAAGGAAGGAAGGAAGGAAGGAAGGAAGGAAGGAAGGAAGGAAGGAAGGAAGGAAGGAAGGAAGGAAGGAAGGAAGGAAGGAAGGAAGGAAGGAAGGAAGGAGAGGAGAGGAGAGGAGAGGAGAGGAGAGGAGAGGAGAGGAGAGGAGAGGAGAGGAGAGGAGAGGAGAGGAGAGGAGAGGAGAGGAGAGGAGAGGAGAGGAGAGGAGAGGAGAGGAGAGGAGAGGAGAGGAGAGGAGAGGAGAGGAGAGGAGAGGAGAGGAGAGGAGAGGAGAGGAGAGGAGAGGAGAGGAGAGGAGAGGAGAGGAGAGGAGAGGAGAGGAGAGGAGAGGAGAGGAGAGGAGAGGAGAGGAGAGGAAAATAAATAAAAAAACAATGAACAAAATGTGTATCACTCTACCAGTAACTAGTATTAGTTCAAAAATTCCTGCTAAGATCCTCTTGTTCCAAGACAATTTGAAATCAATGTGTGTGTGTATGTATTTGTAAGTTCATCAGTAAAGAACATAGGAATGGTCTTTGAATCACAATTGAATTACAAAAATCGTTTAAGCTGTGGATGTGGGTCTTCCTTCATGTTGTCTTCAGAAATTTCTGAATTTCAGTATTGTTCTGTCCTCTAACACTAAGCATTCCTTGGACATCTAGCATCTAGGAAAATTCTAATAGAATCTACGACATTCCTATCCCTATACCTATCTGAGGTATTCAATTCAATCTGTGACTTACAAAGAGGTGCTGTGACGTATTCCAGAGATTTTTTTTAATAAAGCCCTATCTGAAATCTCACCTGCCTTAATGTGATGTCTAATAATCTGAAAGAATACCAAGGCCGCTTTCAGATGCTAACAAATATCCAGAGGCAAGAACTTCAACATCTGCCCGAGCTTCAAGGGTTGGTTTACCTTTCTTGCTCACACCAGGATTTAAAAACTGCCCTGTGAAGCACTTAATGATTTGAGAGAAACTTGCTTCTTTAATGCAATACAATTTTATATTTGTAGTATTACCATAGAAAAAATTCAAAATGAAATGAAATGGAATACAAATAACACTAGATTTTCTTCAATATCCTGAATCATGAATAGAAACATGTCTAGACTCAAATGCAAACCACATTTTAAAGCACAATTCAAATTCTTTTCCACTCCCTGCCAAGTGCTGAGTTTGGTCCCTGCGGGTCTGAGCAGGGTTTCCTCAGCTACAGCAGCTGGCACGGAGCTGGCTGGTTCCATCAGCCTGCACAGGTCTTGACAGGTGCCAAGCTTTTCACTTCGCTTTCAAGGACCACAAAGCCCTTTGTGCATGATTTAGGAGACTGGGAACTGGGTTTTTGATCCAGAAAGGGAAAATGAGATGTTTTCCGGATTTTAATCCTCCAGATCTGTTACTAGTGCTTCAGTGAGTTTCTTCTAAATGCAATAATAACATTTGCTCTGAAAAGAGCTCTTGGTGCATGATGAATTTGCCAGACATTTTACTTTGAGATCAATCTGACAAATGTTCTTTCTAGCATTTTCATGTTGATTTATTCTTCCTCACAAAGGACAACTTCATAAAGAACTTGAATCAGATCCATGTTCACACTTTACATATGCAACATTTTTGTGGCTGACAAAGTTGGCTCCTCATGCAAACTAACTTGGAATTAAAGTCAAATCAGAGAAGGGCATGCTGAGACCGCTATACTTCAGTAGCTATTTTTTTCCAGCTAGTCATCATTATTATGACTAGATATTTACCCTTAGGTGCATTGAGCTGATCATTCTGACTCATCCACTTGGTGGATGCTGTCCTGTTGGGTTAATTGTTATCTTTCTGTCTGAAAGATTTTTTAATTCCTATAACTGCACCGGGTAGCTATTTTACTACTTACCAAGTGACCTCAGTGCTGACATAACCTTTCTGGTATTGTTAGTCATAACTTGTGTCATGACCTTGATGTGAATTATGCCTGTCTTGAGGATACAAACCTTTACACAGCACAGATGGTCTGCTGGAAAAAATGATAATGAAGGTCTGCACATCACACCTTGTCTTCCATTGCAGATTACTTCCTTTACCATTGCCTCATTGTCTTAGGCATCTTTTGAACAAGGACCTAAGACATCATTTGTCATACACAGTGCTCTAATGTAAAAGACTATAACATGGGATTCTGGAAGATGCTTTTGCTACCAGAACTATCCCTGAATCTTATTGTCCTCTTCCAAACTTGCTTAGTTCTCCATATACAGTATATCACCATTACTTCCAGAGCAGATTTTTTTTACTACATCTTTGAAAGAATGATGAAAGCTGTGTAAGCTCATTAACAGAGCATGTGTGTAGGCTTAAAATTACAGATAATAGACAAGTGGTTGGAAAGTCAGTAATTCCTTTGCATATTTGCCAAGACTTAGGTCGAGATTTAGAGGTTCCTTTGCCCAGTCTGGTGAAACCAGAAGCAGCTCCAGGTGTTTTAGGGAGTGCTGGCAGTGCACATGCAACACAAGTGAAGGAGGAGGTACAATTGATCTCAGGTGTTTTCTGCAAGAGCAAACCATGTCCATTCTAGACTCCATTTTAATGGTTTTTGTTGTTGTTGTTTTACTAATTGGGGGGGTGGGGGAGGATTGCTTTTTATTTTTATTTTTATTTTGTATAAGTTAATCCCATTTTCTTTAATATTTCTTGTTTTCTATCACTCCCAGAATCTATTATTTCTAAAATTAATTAAAGTAAATGTTGATACAACAGCTCTGGCTTTTCACATCCATGAAATATATTGTTAAATTATAAGAATGTGTCTGTGTGTTTAAGAGTAACCCTCACGAATAATTTAATGCCTTTCTAATCCAAAGCTTAGTCCTTGCATGTCACATCTGTTTTTATGTAAATGTTCAAAAAACTGATATATACATTATTAACTTGGAATGTAATAAAATATTTTATCTGAAAATTCAGCAAAAGGGTGATTTTTATCTCAGCATTCTTTGGCTTTTCTTCATGAGCATGGTGGTAAAGAGTCACAAACGTAACATTCAGATCCTTGGGCTTGGGTTAAGGAAGGGATGTAAGAGTGGGGTGCATCTGCACCCCATAGGACTTGTGATGTGGAACCAGCATTGGAAGCAAAACCCTCCCTCACACTTGTGTTCACCATGTTTCTAATGTGAAAGACAGGCATTACGGAAAAAGTTGGTTATGTTGTCTTGACTAACACATCCTTTGCTGGCTCAGACTGCAGTAAATAAGTGGAGGTACGTGAAATGATAAATGAGTGTCATGGGCACATTGCCACCACCACCTGGAGCAAGACCGCTGGCTGACTGTGTGTGGACTGCCCCCAGCAGTGTGACAGCCTGGCCACCACACTGCTCATGCTCAGTGTATATTACTCTTAACAAACTAGTTTTTATGTCTTAGAGTGTACCTATATTAAGGAAGTTTTCAGAGTACTGTTTTAAAATGAAATAGAATGTATTTTCCTCTTTAAAATCTCAGCATCATTTCTTACTTATGTATTTTGTGTTCTGACAGTTATTTACACTGCACATTTTTTGAATAATTATGCTTTGTGTATATAAATGTGTGCCACCCTTGCTACTCCATGTTAGAGAAAAAAAAACAGTGAACGGTGCAGCATGTAGGGGCAGCAATGATTTGTCTTCTTGACATTGACTTAGTTTTACACAATTTTCAGGGAGCAGAAGTTGAATGAGCGCTGTCCTGTACTCCAAACATCTTTTCTAGACCAAATGACATCCCCTCAACCAGAAACAGCATTGCCTGTGAATAGGATGTACACATGGAACAGTCCCAAAACAGTGCCTATTTAAGATTTCAAAGCACAGCAATTATAGCTGAAGTCACATTCTGTAGATAAGCATTTACGCATCTGGCAGTAGAATTCAGTCCCAAATAAGCAATGTTATGAAATAATGTAGCAATGGTTTTAAGAGATTCGCTGTGTAACAGAGTCCATCCATATCTTATAATACAATGTGTTTTTTTTAGTGTTTATTTGGATTTTCACTTGGATACTGAAGTAACACATACATAAACAGCTTTTGAAGGCGTACAAAGTGGGAGCCTGAGCAGAGCCTTAAAGAGAAAAAGTTTCTAATAGAGGCATAGTGACTGCCATGAAATTGTCTATGTAATTATTTTAAAGTGTAACAGCAAATTTAATATAATCTTTTTTCCCCCACCCCTTTTTCTTTTATTGATCAGTTAATTCAGGAGATGGGATAGACTACAGCCAGCAGAAGCGTGAAAATATTGGAGATCTGATTCAAGAGACACTGGAAGCCTTTGAGCGCTACGGTGGAGAAACTGCTTATATAAACATTAAGTACATGATCCCTACTTACCAGTCGTGCATATTAAACTGAGTGGTATCAAATGGGATGATTCCATTTGTGTTTAAAAATAACCAAAAACCTGTGTCTGACTCTGTGTGGCATCTTGTTAGTCATGCTTTTTTTCTGTACAGCTGCTAAAATAGTGGCTTCTGGGGCATTAGAGTGTTAGTACTATTGTGAACAAGTCTTTCCAACACATAAATAGTGCCTGTTCCTTTGATTACAATGGTGTACTGTGCTTGTTTGTTCCGTGAAAGAATTGCTTCTTTATGGCAGAACTGACTCGAGCAGGAATCAGAGTTAAACCTTCAGTTGTGTAGACAATAAAACTATAATTTTCATATGCAATTCAGCAATCGCTGTTCTGTGTCCGCTTGCCCTGAGGGTGATGTCAGATGCTGTAACAAGAAGAGTTTATGCTGACTGCTTAATAGGTGTTTGTCATGGAAGAGAAACACCAGTTCAGCAGTGTCTCTGTAGCAGCTGTGCCAAATAATGTGCACCAACATACAATAAAACTGTTGAACGTATATGTCCATTATAGTGGGAAAAGCTATATGGCCCATTATAAAGCACTGACAGAAAATTAATGAATGTCCCTTACACACTCATGGTCTAAGCTTCCAGGTGTTTAGAGCTTGGGTTCTTTCAGTAAACATCAGGCATGGCCACAATTTTGAATGAAAAAGACAAAAAAACAGAACTTAAATAAATCAGACAGAATATACAGTGTACAGAATATTTCAGATCCTACTGGCATTGTTCAGCTCGGTAAATACAGAATACAAACCGATCTCATAGGATGCTGGATATTTATTTTAACTGCAAGGTTGCCATCGCTTTCCTGTTATTATTGTAGTATACACATGTATAAGCAATATAACTATTGTCACAGTAATCCTCTACATTTCCTTCTTGCTTACTTTCTTCCTGTATAGCCACAACACAGAATTGACCATAGCTTTATGACTGGCTTTATTTCTTTAGATGCACTTCTATGGGATAAACCTAAAAAAAAAAAAAAAAAAAAGCAAACTTTACAATGTTCATGAAAATAATTTGAAATTATCAATTTAGCTCAAAACAACTCAAATTATATGAACCCTGTCTAAAAAAGCATAACATTTCAAAATGTCCAGACTTTGAACTCATTTTCTATTTATTCTGGTTTCTAACTCCTAAAATATAATGAGGTTGCACTTTCAAGCATTTCTGCGTAATTGCAAGGTCTCAAAATGCAGGGGTTTTTTGTTAGAAGCATACAACTTTATCCAAGTTTTATCTGCTCACATGCACACACTGCAAGGACTGCCTGTGCCAGAAGCATGGCCCTGTGCTGCCCCGTTCCTTTGGCTGGGCACAGGGCGCGTGGGGTGCGCCTTCCAACCCACTGAAATGCTGACACTAGACATGCTTTTGTCTGCTCTGATTGTTAGCTATAAACATTTGTCTTTTCTCTCTTTCTTTTCTTTCCTGTGACTGAAGGACAAGTCAGGAAGAATAGGAGCTGCCACACTCAAGGGTGCCACTGGCCGCAGTAGCTACTCAGCCATGTTTCAGGCCCCACTGCTGCAATGTACCTGCAGCGTCACAGGCTCTGGAGACCTTCCTTCTCTGCTTGGTTTTCAGTTATTTCTGTTTTCTTTTACATGCAGCCAGAGTTTCCCCCAGGTCGCTAGGGTTCAGGCGATGCCTGTGCTGTGACTAACACGCACCTGTGACAGACAGGCACAGCAAACACACTGCCTCACATCCAGGCCTCGGTAAATCTCCCACCTCCCCAGCAGAAAGGAATGCAAAGCCTGGCTGCAGGGAATCTCAACAGCCTTCTCTTCGAAATTTCAGGGCAAATTCGTGGACGATGCAATAGAGAAGCTGAGCACATCTTTCCAAAAATGCCCTGCCATGCAGGCTCTAGGAATATGACCTTTGCTTACAGTTTCCCCCTCCATCTCCCCTCAGTGGACCCCTACACTGGGCACTGCGTCCTGTGCCAGTGAGCTGTTCTGTCTCACATGATTGCAGCTATGAGTTTGGCTATCAGGAAATCACAGGTTTCCACCATAAGTACACAGTGTGCAGGAGGCCTGCTGCATGGAGGAAGAGGAGTTATTTTACCCTGAAACAAATCAGGCCCTTCATAAAATGGAAATACCAAGTCATCTTTCATTTGTTATCTATTTATACTCTGTCCTGACAAGAAATCCAACCCCACACTTGTGCCTAAGCTCAAAACACCACTCAGCAGCCAATGCAGCTCCTGCCCCACTGTGCTCCTACCACAGAGCCACCGGCAGAGGTGACATCTGGGGACAGGGCACTGATCCCTGGGACCTTCCCACTGCACCTCCCCGTGTCCCAGCTGCACTGCTGAGGAGGTGATGAAGCTACAGCTTCATCCTTCTAACTCCACAGTTCCATTCTTTTGGCAAGTTTTTGTATCCTCTCCCCTTCTGCACATCTAGGACAAGACTAATGGCTGACAGAGGCTAGAAAATGGGCACGTTGTGCAGCTCCAGGCTTGCCCAGGCCTGTTCCCTGTACCTCTGTTCTCTGTTTGAAGGTGTCTTTCGCAACAGTTTGCTTCAACATGAGGTGACCTTACTGCAAGCCATACGAGCAACAGAGGTCATCCCCATTCACACCAGGGGAAAGGTTTCACAGCCAAGTGCTTTTACTTGACTGCTCAAGATGGCAACTTATTAACCTAAGGAGCTGGACTGGTGAAAAGAAACATGAAAAAAATGCAGGCCAGTAATTTAGGAAGACCGAAAATGAAACTATTTTTGGATGTCATTTTACCAAGTCGAACTGTAGGACTGCTAACCTTGCCAGTGTCCCTTTAAGCATGATCAGCAGCGTATTTATAGGCAATTACAGCACAGCTCAGAGCACTTTATAAAGCACAAGATCAAGGACCCAGGTGCTTAAGCATATGAGTAATATTATGTCATTTGATACGCTGCCTTGCTGTTTTACCAAGCTCAAAAAATGGAATTGTAGTTTCAAAATAGTATCTGTCTCTCTTTCCTCCAGCTCTTGTCATTGCGGTCACCAATGCTATGGGCAGCCAATCAACAGTTTCTAATTGAGATCAATTAAAAGGCACTTTGGGCCAGGTTTTTCAGGGGATATAAATTAAGTGTAGCTCCATTAAAGCCAATTTGGCTGTGCAGAACAGAAGTAGCTCATGCCCTAGTATGAGAGCTGAGATCTCCTGCTCCTTTTTAGCTTTCCTGACACATCAATGTAAGCAATATCAGGAAAGGTCCCTGTGGACACTGGAGTGTTAAAAAAAATCACATGCTGGTTTTCTGAAACCAGTGCTTGAGAGAGGTCTGGATTATCTGGCAGTTATTGGGAAAGCCTGGCATCTTGTGAGTGCTGGTGGGCACTGTAAAACAGCAAGCTGTTTGGTGAGTGCAGCTTGAAGATGAGCATGGGTGGGGGGGTTCAGCCCCTGCCCGGCACTGCAGGGCTGCCCTGGGTTGCTGGGACCTGGCCCATCCACTGCCAGAGCTGGCAGCAGGGCGCTGGAGCCAGGCTGCTGGCTGGTGGCCTTCCAGCTTCTCAAAGGGATGGCGCTGACAAAAGGAGGCTGGCAGCATCCCCCAGGGTGAAGCACAAGGGGCTGTGGGAAGCCCTGTTTGGGGGAAGGCATGGAGGTACCCATGGGGGATGCAGGGAAGCGTAGCTGAAGCCAAGTGGGGCCAAAAAGAGAAGGAAAAAGCTAAAGCACACAGTGTGTGCTTTCCTAATCCTGTCTGTAGACCCTCCGACTTCCAAGAAAAGCGTTCTCCAGTCTGAGGGGCTCTGCAGGCAGCAGGGCAGCCGGCATTTTTCCACTCATCTGTAACATCCTGTATTTTCTGCTGTAAATAAAGGCAGTGATGTCTGCAGGAACTCGATACAAAGCCCGTCTGCTTGAGGTCACTTTGTGCCTCTTGGAGACCGGGGGAGGATGGTTCATGCGCTGGCAGGACGAGACGTTCCCAGCCCTGGCCCTGCGATCCTTCCTGCACACAAGGGGAGGGGATGGGAGCGTGTGTGCCAGGCACACACTAGCTGTAATTGCTCTTGCCTAGCAAACACAGCCTAGAGCTGCTGCTGTGACCCTCTCCGTCCCGGGGGCAGAAGCACGAGGCCTCGGTCACCCAGCTCTGACCCACACAGGCCTGGATCTGCAGGGAGGCTGGAGGAAAGGTGAGGGGACTGCTTGGGTGTTCTTGCTGCCAGACCACCCTCCCCCTACACCACAGACCAAAAACTATGGAATCTAACTTGTGTTAGATTTGGTTTTGTTCTGCATAGAAACATTGAATGTGCTGGGATGCAGTTGCAAGCCAGCCTGCAGCCTCAGCCCGCTCTGTTGCACAGTGGGAATGTATTGGTTTGGGGTCTAATTTCTGTACCTTTTCTGCCTCCTTGGCTGTCTTCTGTATAGCTTGGTAGAGATGAACTTGTTCCATGTGAGTGGAGATAAGCAAATCAGTGCTTGTGGTGGCTGTACCAAATACATGTGCAGCTATGTTTCTGCTACCAGCATACATAAATGTTGTAGATTTTGCCTTCTGTTGGACCCCTCTGGCCTTACATAAGATCAAATTGTTCTCGGATATAGGTGTAGTGATCAAAGATGTGGACAAATTCCTCAGAAATTGTGAGAAAGCTCTAAGAGATCTGCATATCATATCCTATCCCAAAGTGCCCCAAATGCTGTGCTGAGGCCCATGAGCTGTGTGCTGGACAAAGCCAATGGCTGCCACAGAGCAGTCACTTCACATTGCATGTTGTTTAATTAATCAGGCCTGTGCTCCCTTTAGAAATGTGGTCCACACAGCTCTATCAGCTTTCAATTTCTGTTTTCTGGGTGTAATTCCTAAGCCCTTCCCTAAGGAGCAATCACCTAAAAGCAACTCGGCTTGCCTAGCTCCAGACTTGGTGAATTATGTCCTTTCATCTCGCCAGCTCCATCTTGTGCATTAGTCCCATTACCTCATTTGTGGATTCGTACTTCTTGCATCTCCCACATCCCTGTGGTGCTGCTCCAGCTCAACAGAGAAGTGAAGTGGTCAGAGGGGCAGCTGATAGCAGGGCCGTCAGGGAATGGCTATTCCGGCAAAGGCTTTTGCTGAGCAGTTCATGTTTTGGGAAAGCACAAGTTTTGGGGAATTTGCATCTGCTTCGTCCCAGAGCTCTCCCTTGGTGGTAGCTCTGGCAAAACATTTCTGGAAAAAAAATCTTCATCCACTCTCCCTCTGCCTAATACTGCAGTGTACTGGGAGAAGAATAGCTATGCTGCTGAAGGTGGAGGATGGGAGAGAAAGCAAATGGCAGGAAAATTTTGT